CATCACAAGATCTTAACTACAACAGGACAGCTAAAATATAAGACACCAGAATTATCCGGCAAGTGGGTACATCTTCTAAATTATGAAACCTGAAGAGCTTCTGACATTTATTTTCCCTTTTGTAGGGAAATCTTGTCTGGCTGGAAGGAAAAAATCCAAGTTCAACAACCGATTATGCACTAAAACTGTTACTGTTGACTCAACCCAGCATGAATCACAATACAGACAGGCTTCTCTTTCCATGGAAGAGAATGTCTCATAGCTCCCTCCACTTACAAAGAAACAATTTTAAATCTTACATTTTACCATTTGGATACTTTGCTGCTCACCCTGTGGCAATATATTTTTGATCACTCTGTATGAGAGGGGAGCTGTTGAAATACTCAGGCTTAGAGCTACACAGATGCTGTGCCCTGATTTCCAGCACCGTTAGACAGCACTGACATAAAGCCATCAGCTTGAAGTCGAGTCCACAGAGGCTGAGATTTGGCGTGTAAAGCATGAAGCAGGTATAGATTGCAACAGGACAAGCCATGGCTTGTTGAGTCACTGATTCCACATCTCACCGAGATACTCCACTGTCTGGCACTTGCTGGCCCAGCCCTTAATCTTCTATAATAATCCCATCCTGCAGCAAATGCTGGAGAGAATGTTCTAGACACTTCTGAAGGCTAAGCTACTGAGATTTTAACAAAAAGTATTTGTATAGTAAGTTTCACAATAGCCTTTCTGAGCATCATTTGTAACCTTGATTATACCTGTTAATTTATAATTGGAAACTAGAAGGGGAGAAAAGTTTGAAGGATAGGATTTAAAAAACCTCACTCACCCACACACCCAGCAGCTCCTCCTGCCACAATGCAACTCCTCATTGTGGTGCAGCCACTAACAGAACCTAATAAAGCACTGCAGTTCAGAGCAACACAGATTTTAGCTCTTTTCCCTCTTCTTATGAAAGACTAAGAAGATTCATTGACATGGAGTTCTGTAAAACTCTTGGTGAAAAAAGGTGGAAGGAAAGGGAAGGAAATCTGTAAGCAAGTATCTTTGAAGTCAAAGAGCTATGAAAAAGTGAGTTTATGAAGCAAACAGAGGGTGTTTCAGAGCAAAGGCTCACACACAAGCAGAAAGAGCCACCAAATGCCCCACTAGGAAGCAAAGACACTGAAAACAACCTGAGAAGGTCTTTGAGAATATAAAACTATTTGAACAGATAAACTACTCATATGCAATCTAAAGAAACACAGTTGGAAAATACATTGTATTTTAAGAGTAAGAAAAGTATTTCTACCTGAAAAATAGTAATTAGGAACAAACTCACTTTTTTCAAAGCTGATCCTGTACTAACTACTGTCTTTGAAATACAAATGTTTACATGTATTTGCTTGCTCTAAAAGCACACAGACCTCAGTGAGTATTGTCTTTTAAACCTAGCTCCCATATTGAATGCAAGAAGATACCAAGCAAATTGTTAAACAGCTGTGTCTGCCTGTGAGCTGGGCCAGCTTCTGCCATTCACACAAGCAGTGCCCTGCACGGGTTCCTCCTTCACAGCCTGTGCTGCCATCAGCATATGCAGCACTACACAGCACCTTGCTTCAGCAGACCATCATCCAGTGCAACTGCAACACAGCTGGGAGAAAAGCTTTCGGGAGAGAAACAGTCCTCAGGAAGCCAAGGTACACGAGTATAATAATGCTGAAACTTCCTACAGCCTCTGCAGTAACTAACTTCTTGTTACTGGAAGCAACATTTGGTTTTCACAAAGGCTTACTAAGACCACTACTACTCAGCATGCAGGCAAAGGGTCATCTTTATTTAGTAGAATTTTAGAACAGATAAAATGCCTTTTCACAAAGCAGAAAGATTATACAGAAAAATTCTACTGAACACCTTGTAAACAATTTCCAGATACTTTCCTTGGTTGTTCAGACACCTTAACTCAGTGTGGGTGCCTGTCAGATAGGGATTTCCTTGCCTCGCTTTTGGATTTACCCTCATTCTGAAAAAAGAAAATATCCACAAACATTCTCCGGGAAACATTCTGAAGGATGAATTGGTTCTGAAACTCTCAGTATTTTCCACCCTGTATCAGATCACTAGGTGCCAATCCTAACCCACCTTTGGCTTCTTCAGCTATTATAGAACAAGAAAACTTGAATGCCCATTCTAAAAAAATCACATTTACTGAACAGTGGTGTTTTGAAGCTTCTTTGCCTTTTTAACATTGACTTAGACATCAGATTTCTTGTGCATTTACTAGCAAGTGCAAAGAAGTTAAATTGCTACTCTTCTGAAGTACCCATCCACCTTATGTGTCACTCTACTATTCCAGCAGCTACAAACAAGTCTTTCCATAATTCTGCAAGAGTTACCTTTTCCCTTCTGCAGTGCTATGTCAGCTAAGAGCCCACTTTCTTCTTTGATGTCCAGTATATCATGTACCCAAAAATAATTTGTCAATGACTTTGTCTGTAAAGAAGCACTTCATACCTGTCAGAAAGAGACTACTGACACAGCTTTCCAGAGAAGTCAAGCTTCTCACTCAGCTGCAGGGTGACCTTTCCAAACACTACCCAGGTTACATGCTTTCAAAATAACTCTTAGATTTGCTCAGCCTATTGGAGTGAATTCTCTATTTTTCTTTCTTTACCAACACATTCAAGTCTGGGTATTTGTAACCCATGGATCCAGTAAGTTCGTCCTCGTTTTCTAGTAGATGCTACAAGTAATTTATTTCAATGCTGGTATGTCAGACTTCTGTGTTCTTTATTAAGGACCCACAGGCTCTATTGATTCAGAAAGGCAGCATTTCAATGGTTTGTATTTAACATTTTCAAAGAAACTACAAGGACTAGAAATGCAATTATAAAAGGTTATACTTTTCTGTTGAGGTCAATCTGCTAGAGACAATACACAAGGCATAACTGATGTACGTTGAGCTTACAGACAATTCTCTTTCACTAATTCAAGAAACTGTTGATTTTGAGGCAGTGGCATACAATTCCTAAACAAATAAATAATGATCTGCATACAGATTAAAGTTTGATGGAAGAATAAAAGGCAAATTCCAAACAGAATGGACCAGCAGATGTGGGTACAATATGAAGCAAGGTAGTCAAGAGAAGGGTCTCAGTTTTCAGAACATACCAACTGCCGGTCCCTGAAAAACACCTTCCACAGCAGAATTTACAGACTGTAGGGGTTTGGGGGTGAGGAAAGAAACAAGACTGGATAAACTCACACAATCAAAACATAACCATGCGTCAATTTTTAACAGTATTGTCACCAGTGTTTACATCATCTCAGACAGACTTGGGCCCATAGGTTCTATTCTTTAGTGTGTATCTGAAAGACTGAAGGTAATCATGCTTCTATAATTCTGTGGAATATTTTGGTATCTGTACTGTAAACAACAATAATTGTTTCCAGCTTCACTTTTAATCAGGGAAATGGTAAGAGCACCAAGGAAAGGGCTTCAAAACCTTACAGGCAATTGTAAAGTTGTAACATAGAAGGGACTTTGTGAAAATCTGTCCTAATTTATTGTGGCATAATCAGATGTTGCGCTGTAAGCGGTATGAATGATGACATATCACCAGAATTATTGCAACAATGACAGAACAAGGTAAAGCTGAAATCTGCTGTTCTGTTTAACTTGGCACTGCCTTATACTTAAACTGCCTCTGTAAAAAACAAGTATGCTAGATTTGTTATGGAAACACGTACAGTTCAACTTCCATGGTTCTCTGTGTAATTTTTTTTAAGAAGTGGCTTCTGGCACTGTGCCACTGACACCAAGTCCAAGTAAATCCTTATTACACAGATCACTGACCTGAATCTACTGATACTCTTACCCACCCATCAATCCAGCTGTCAGGCAAACCTATTGCATCCCACACATGAAGTATACACAACTTCAGTTGAGAAAAAAGTCACACCCACTTTCAAAATGGCCATGTAAAAACTTCTACCACTATTTTTCCCCCAAAACAATGAAAAAATATTTCTGTTTCTCTGAGGCTTGATAATAAAACCACATTCCTTTAAGGTAGGGGGGAAAAAAGCCACATACAAAAGGCAATTTAACCAGTTGACTCATGCTTCTTAAAGACATTAACCAATTTATATGTGCAATGGATTTAGTTTTTAAAAACAGTTTCAAGTTTTGCCCTGCTGCATTTCAGTTTTTAAATGTCATTTTAAGCCAGATTTAAACAACTGTAAGACTTATACAACAGCCTTATGAACACATTACCTGTAACATAATAATTGGTATGATCAAAACATTCTCACAATGGTATTGCTAAATAAAAATCAACACACTGATTTTTATGCAGCTGTGATACCACTAGGTTTGCCACCTGTCAGTAATTTAAAATGTTTAAATATTCCCTTCATGAACTTGAGCCTCAGAAAACTTGAGAAGGCATGATTTAAAAAGCATGAGGTTTGATTGTCAAATTTTTTTTAAATTTTAGATTAGATGGCAGAGCTGGATTACGAGAACTGTATTCATTTTGACAATCCACATCTACATCAGAACGTATCACTACACATTAGCTATTCATTTTCTTAATGGAAAGGCACAAACTAGATTTAGTTGGGAGAGTTGTTTTGTTTTAAATACTCTCCTTTTTCAGGCTTCCTTCAGCAGCTCAAAACGCCTGTTGACAAGGACTATGTGCAGCTTCCTGGACATAATCACCTCTAAAGTAAAATAAAACAAAACCCAGCCTAATGAGGTGGCAAGCCCAGAAGTCACAAGTGTTAGCAGGAAGTTCCTACAGCACCAAAACAATGGAAATGATGGTTTTACACATAATTTATTATTCCTACCTTCCAAATATTTAGAGACTTTATCCATTCGAACTGCCATATGGTAAAGAGAATGAACAAAGAGATGCAACATTTAGATTTTAAATCATTTACAGAAAACAAGCCCCCAAAATCACTGAGTTATGATTATTAGTAGTACAAAGAAAGTTATTTGTCCGAACCTGATGTTAGGTCAGATCCTCTGTTCTTTTTATCTTCTACTATTTCATAGAACGGGCCTATTACTTGTAGTAACTCTTCAACTTTGTCCGTCATTGGCATGCTCTCAAGAATCTGCACAAGTACAAGACATGAAGCATCTTATGAAACAGCATTTCAATGATTCATTCATTCATTTCAACTGATTTTAGAAACTGCTGGTTACTGTAGAACTCAGTAACATTTCACTAAGTCATTAAACTTGTTGTTCTGATTTTTTTAAACATTTTTAATTACAGGGAAAAAATATAAAACTAAGTCATTGAATAAGAATCTTATATTAATTTATTTCAGGTGAAGATGAGATGAGAGAGCTAAAGCATTTGCCAACATTAAAACACAGCCTTGACACAGTATTTATCAGTAGACTTTGGAATCCATTATTTCTTCAATTTTGAGCTAAACCATCTCAAAGTTCGACAGCCTGCTGTTAGCCAATATAGTTATTTTATAGACAAGACTTTCCACAGAAAAAATAAAATAAAATTCTTTTTTTGTGTTAGAGGATTCCTTTTCAAACCCTGCCACCTTCAATGGAACATAATGAGCAGATCAGAAGTGCTCTACTAGGTCCTTTCTAATCCCAAACAAAAAAATGGACAGAATACTGCAAAACTGAGACAGCTCAAAGACCAACTTAGAAGAACAAACTAGAACCAAGTTCTGCTCTTGACGTCATTTGGAGCGTTTCTTCATTTTAAGTTTCAAAAACAATACCTTTGATCATATGACAGGAATGCAAAATCTTAAATCTAAAATAAATTAAAGAGAAGAGATTCAATAGTTGGATACTATTTTTAAAGCATATGGTATTATTGTCCCATTCTAGTTTAAGTCCTTTCAAACAAGCTTTTTGCCAACAGCTTTGTTCCTCTTTCATCCTCCACATTTTTAGTTACCATATTTTAAAAGTGGCAATAGCTAGAGGTAAAACCACAGGCTGAAGCAAACGAACAGCTACAGTGCACCTCTTCCTCCTGAAGGGCATCAAGAAGGCAACAGATGAGGGTACATGCTGCCACACAACATGCTGCTCAAAAGCACCAAGCACACCAGTGTGCAGTAGGAGCACAAGCTGCAGAGTTATTGCACAGAGCAGGAGCTCCAGGCAGGCTAGCACCTAGCGAGTCAACACCTGCAAACCAGTCAAGGATACCAAGAGACAACAATTCTATCGACCTGCAGTTTCATTGCCACTTCTCTGATCTGCTCAGTGTATGTAATTCATTCTGTCTTTGTTAGGGAGAAATACCCAGACACACAGAGCTGGATATGAAACAGAGATTGAACAGTTTTGTGACTGCCGAGTTTTTCACTTCAATAACGTTGAGAGAAACAAGAAGCCTTTTCTAGGATAAAGTTTGCATTTGTTATGTATTTATTTCTACAGTCAGGTTTGTAAACTGTTCCATACATGCATTCCTGTGATGTCTGCACATTACTGCTCTTCATGCATTCTAAATGTACCTCAATATTGTCTGTGCTACTTACAGCAATTCTTAGAATTTTTTTCTAACTGCTAGCTTTTAGGTGAGCACAAAAAGAGAAAATACTTTCACCAGCAAAAGTAACTGCTTGCTTTTTATAGCTAGGCTTAATAAGCAATCTCAAAATTTCAAAACTAAAAATAAGTTATTATGTATCCTGATTTACTGTTTTCCTTGGATACCACACAATTCATATATAGCCATGTTCTAAATTAGAACACCACACAGTGTTAACACTTCATGCTAAGATATCACTTATTTGTAATACATAATAAAACAACATATCTGAAATGTAAACAAATTAGTTTAAACAAAATTGCAAAATAAATTTCAGGAACACTACCTGAAACAAACTAACCTTGAATCTGAGCTCAGGTGCATTTTGTTTATTTTAACTAAAAATAATACATTATGCTGGTCTCTCACCAGCATATCAAAACCTCACCCAGACACATTCCTCAACTGTGATTTTCAAGGTTACCACACTAAGGAGTGAAAAAAAAACCTAAAACAAATTTGGAATTTTGTGACAAGGTCATCTGATGCGTGTATAGCCCAAACACAATGTGCAAATGCCAGGGAACACCCCAGGGCTGGGGGAATAAGGCAGGCTTATACACCCTTAAACAGTCCTGGGATATCAGCATACAAGTGGGATTTTGCCCCTCAGACATGGATACCCACACAGCAACAGCAGACTGCTCACAGTGAGTCCATGAGGATTAGTGAAGTATGTGCTGATAGAACAACCCAGTGGATCCATCTGAAATGCACTTCCATTGACATTGCAAGTAGAATCAATTGGGATGGAAAAGCTGAAGCTAGTATTCCAAATGTGAGAGCTGAAACAGCACCAAACAGGGTAAACAGATTCCCCAGTTTCAAAGCTAAGCAAGGCAGGAAGTCACCTGCTCTCCACTCCCTACACATAATCCGCACAGAAGCAGAATATTTGTGGTTCATTAGGGTCAAGGAAGCAGACTTCCTCACAGGAGGCTGACTAGAGTTTTTTAGAACAAACATTGCAGTTTCACTTGGTTTTAGTGTCCTGACCAAACCAGTTACTGCACTGAAAAAAACCCATAAGGTAATCTACTGAAATATCGACACATCTTGAATTCAAGATTTGAAATGAAGCACTAAATCTTGTGGCACGCATTCAAAGGAACTATTAAAATTTAGTGGGATTTTTAATCAAACAAACAGTATTTGGCCTTCTGTGTTTTCTGCTTATTTTCCAGTTTAGAGCAGATATAGTAATAGCAGCAGGAACTAAATTACCAGAACTACAGACAGGAAAAAGAACAGTAAACCAGACTCCAGCTCCTTGCCTAGTAAAAATTTTTGTTGTATCACCCATTAAACAGATTCAGAGTTTGATGTCAAGATAGTGGCCTCAGAAATAAGCAAGTGTATTTGGAGTAAAACTTTTTCCCTTTGATTCAGACCTCATTATAATAATAGATTACAATTATACTTTGTATATTGACAGCAAATAATCTTTAAACTGGAGAAGTAATCGCTAAAAGTCTCAGTGAAAAGACTGCAGTGAAAAGGGTTAGTTAAGAAATTACATGAAACTTTTAACTCTGTTTACTTTAGTTAATCCTGCAATTCCCACTTAATATGGTAACTGTGACTGCTTACAAGTTACACATCTATTTGAAAACAGAGCACACTACTCAATGTTAATAGTTTCACTGCAACTACACTATTCATGGAATATTTTCATAACAAGTACAGAAAATTCAGGTTGTTGAGTTCTTCCTGAAAACCAGAAAATTATTAAGTTTACATATTGGATTATATTCAAGTCTCCAGTCATGAGAGTAAGACCTTTTCTCCTAAAGTCCTTCTGGAAAGTTGCTTTAGTCTCTTTCCCAGGATAAAAATCACTTACCTCTCTCAGCTCTAAGAACTGAGGCAATGTGCAGTACAGGTTTTTTTCCTTAATGCCCCTTTACCATGATTTCAACATTTCACTTTCTTTAGCTCTGTCATTTAAGCTTTGTATCAGCTAGAGCTCTCATGTTTCTCTGAAAAGAACACAAATTCTGTGTTTTGAAGGAACTTTGTAATTTTATTTTCCCTGCAGGCCAAACAGAATAGTACTGAAATGTAACAGTTCACACAGGAGGTAACTCATTTGGAGCTTTGGCAGCAGTAGTCAGCAAGACCCCCCTCACATTCCTCTATTTCTAGAACATTTTTTCTAGAAAATCCCTTCATTAGTAAACATACCTTTTTCATTTCATCAACATAGGCTATCATGGCTTCTTCTTTGGACATGTTTCCCAAGGCACTCCAAGCATCCCTAAGAAAGAAAGTCACATACACCTTCAGTATCTTCAGGGCGTACTGGATTTTTTTCATCTTAGCCTTAAGTAGGTCAGTTATGTAATGTCCAAAGTTTCTCTGATACGAGTAAAATTCAAGAATGATTCACATTATTTTTAAAGTACAAATATATAATTTGCTAGGATAATCACATAGTGGAAGAAGCAGCAACAAACTGAACAGACTAGGGACTGAAGAATTCCTCACTGACTACCTGTGATTATGTACCCAGTAAGCTGTAAATAAGCCCAGATAAAAGACACACACATTACCCTTTTGACTAAGCTGAGTTTAAGATCCTCTGCTGTATAAAACAAACAGGCCCAGACACTTCAGCCAGCACTTACAAACAGCTGTCACTGAGGTAGAACAAGCTACAAAAAAAATCTGTCATTTCTGAGTTTAGCAAGCAGGGAAAGACACATCAGTCTAGTAGGCAAATAGTTACCACAGCAGCTACTTATGACCTAAATAAAATCTTCCCCTCTACAACTCTGCAAGACAGCAAACTGTAACCAAATTTATCAGTATTGCACAAGGGATATGTCAGAACACAGACTGCAATAAAACAATTCCTCAGTCTTGCACATTATTTGACATTCCAGGGTATTTGTCTGACCCATAGAAAACCACCAAGGTTGGTGGCTCACATTCCAGCTACAACCGACCAGGGGGACAAAAGCTCCCAGCCTAGTCTGTCCCCTGCACCAAGATTCCCAAGACCACCATAACCACAAAGACAGCAATAATATTTGTTCTTCAGGACAAATCATCATTAAAATATTATAAGCAAAACAGTCACATTGGCTGTTCGAAGAGAACTTGGCAATTTGGTGAATCAGAAGTCTTCCCAGGCCAAGGCAAACACAGATAGTGGGAAGACCTGCCACTGAGCAGACAAACCAGAAAGACATAAACCCAACCTCCCCACCAAGAGCTCAAAGCTGTATCAGTGGTTGCCAGTGATCACTTATTTACTTCAGGCTCACATCACACAGGGAAACTCAAGAAGGAAGAGCTCCAAACACGCCTCCACATCACTCATTCTTCAGAGCACCTAAGACTTCATTTTACAACATGGGATAAACACTGCAGAGGTACCATGATGGTGTGGCCTAAGAAAAACCTGCCCACCTGCATAATCCAAGGGAATGTTTCCATCTGCAACTCTGAGAAGTGATCAATTATCTGAGTTACAAAGTCAGAACATAACAGAAAACTAATTCAAGCATCAAAGTAGATTTTTATTTAAAAAAGAAAAGAGTTTATAGAGTTTCTTTCTTTCTTCCTTCTACTCTTCTAAACATCTCCACTCCAAACATAAAAAAAATTCTCCAAAACAACAACTCATGAAAAGTTACCATTTGTATCTACCAATTGGATCCCAAAATCCAGGTCGAGGAATGTTACAGGGTCCTTGGGTTGCTTGCTTATAAAAGCTATAGAACTTGAGCATCATCTCATTCGTTGGCTGGAATGAACCTAGTGAAAACATTTTAAAATACAATTAAATTGTCATCAAGAATATTAGTGAGTATTTGACAAGCTTAATGGTTCTGTGAGAAAATAGCCTGCAGCCTGTTACAGCCTGATTCACAACAGTACAATATTAGCCAACAGAGAACATCTTCACCTCATCTACCAAGAACCAGCACCACTGAAAATATTTACTGTACAAACAGCAAGTTTCAGATGGAGTTTAAAGGACTATAACCTTTCCTACTGCTAAGGTCAAACTCCACAATTAGAACAAAAAAAAGGTAATAAGTAACATCAAGCCAATGTCCTTTCACTCAGTTTAAAGGGACAGGTTTAGCTCTCAGTAAAAGTATCTTGCAATTCACTTTACTGTTAACAAATAGCTTACTGCAAGTCTCCAGAACTCAAAAAAAAGAAAAAAAAAACCAAACACCAATGAAAACAAACACAATTAACCCAAAACACAGCCTTCTGCAGTGTTTTTGTTTACCTTAGGTATTTATTACTTTCAGTAACAGTTTCACTCTACCTCCCAATTTGATTTTCTCTTCGTCCTTTGTGGAACACACTTTTGTAGAGGTAAAAAGTGTAAATATAAAACTCTAACAACTAGCAGGGAAGATTCATAACCAATCCATTAAATCAAGTAGCTTAAGGTTGGATTCTAATCATTAGAAGTTTACAGTGACGTTTACCTCAGAACCTCAAAAACATCCGATTTTGCTTTACACCAGAATTAATGATGCATGTAATAAACAAATGTTTTAAAAATTATCATAACTCTTATCAAAAAGATAAGTTCTGGGGTTTTTTTCTTTTCCATTTTGTTAACTCTTTCAGCAGAGGGGGACTCACGGTAACAGCTTTGTTAAAGCAACTTCAGGATTTCTGGGAGGCTGAAATCGCGGGGAGCTGACAGATCCCCTGGTCCAGGCTCCCGACTGAGGAGCTCCTGGCAGGGCTCAGAAGGCCCCGGAGCCGGCGTTCCCCCCGAGAGGCGGGGAGCAGCACGAATGCCGAGCTTTCCAGCGGTTCTCCAGCCGCTGCCGGGGCGGCCCCGCTGCCCCGACCCCGCCGCGGCCTCGCCCGCCGGGCCCTGCCCGCTGCCGGTGCCCGCCCGGCACCGATGGCGCCGCTGCCGCCGGACCCCCCTGCCGCACTCACCATTTTTGGGCAGGCTCTGGATCACCTTCACGGCCGCCTCGAACCTGGTGGCGTGCAGAGAGCCGGTCTCGGCCATGGCCCCGGCCCCTCACCGCCTCCTGCTCGGCTGCCGGGCCACGTCCGGCGGGGCAGGCTCGGCTCAGCTCGGCGCCCCAGCCGCAGCCGCCTGCACGGGAGCAGTGCCGGGAGGAGCCGGGCCGTACCCAGCCCCAGCCCCAGCCCCAGCCCCGTTCCCGGCCTCGGCCCCCGCCTCCGCGCCCTCCCCTCCGGCGGGGCCGGGACAGCCCGCCCAGCACCTCGGACCGGCCTCGCCCCGCAACCCCGCCCGGCCCCGCGCTCAGCCCACCCCGACCTCCGCCCCGGCCTCAGGCGCCCATGTTACGTCTCCCACAGCGGCTCCCTGCCCTTCCCTCCTCCCGCACCGCCCCGAGGCCGCGGGGGCACGCCGGGAAACGTAGTTTCTTTGTCTCTCCTTCCTCTTCTTCCCCTCTCTCCCTTCTGCTTGTATTGCTGCAATACGGGAAAACTTCAAAACATGCCATTGCCATATTCCACCCGTTTTACGGACCTCAGTTATCTTCAGGACACCTGTGACCTCACAGCCTGCTGTGCTGCTGCTGCCTCCCCTCCTCACAGCCATCCTCATACCCGCACCTAGTCACACACAATTCACCTAAATTACCACTGTAGACACATTTTTTGAAATAGTTTTAATGATTCCTATTTACATTAAAATTTTAGGCATGCCTAGAACCCAGGGAGCAACTATTTCCATGGTATCCAGAGATGAGGGTGAATACCAGCACAGTACTACCAGTTAGCTAAATAAATGAATGGCCTTATTCAAGAGCGCTGCGCATCCAGCACTCTGCAGTCAAACAAAAGTATGCTAAACCAACTGCTATTGTAGCAAATGGAATAATTTACCCAGTGAGCAACAGGATGAATTAACAGCCTCATTGAATGGAATTGAGTCCAAAAACTTGGCATTCCAGTCAGTTCATTTATCTAGTACACAATATATATTTTAAATTTCTCTGAAGGCAGTTGTGTGCTCACAGTGTATGCCCTCTGGTGGGAAAGAAAAGCCCCAGAGAGAGGGAATTAGAGCAGATCAGCCCCAGCTCTGCTGAGCTAGTACATTCTACAAGGTCAGCAGCCAGCTGGCCTGGGGAGAGCTTTGCTGGAGAGAAGCTGACACTTCCAGAGGTGTTCAGATAGGATTCCCCACACTGGGCAAATTATAAACCCGTGTTATGAGCACTGCTCCACTCCTGAATGTTACAGAATGATTTCTCTGCATTTTTCATTTTGAGTGCTAGATTTCTAAAACACTTGTGAGTTTCATACTAAGATCTATCATCTTTTTTATCCATGAAGGTAGGAATGACAGAAACTCAGATCAAAGGGAAGCGCCTTTTGAAGATAAATGGGTCTCTGTATTCTTTGAGCATGCAAGGAGTTAATTTCAAAAGTAATACAAAAATTAGGAGCCTTTTGTGAAGCCAGCTGATGTGTAAATTCTGTTTATCCGAGACAATCTATAATGATGTTTGCCTTTTAATTGATTTAAGAGAAACACAGTCTGCATTTTTATAATGAATGTTCCCAGACTTTCACTGGAAATAAGCTTTAGAACAGATGCAAATGACAACCTATTTAATGGCTGTGTGCAGAAACAGAAGGTGCCCTCTTTGAACTGAAAATATGTGAGGGTGTAAGATCTGGAGATCCAGAATGAGGTAATTGAAGTAACCCAAAATAATCAGTATCATCATGCTCTGACACAAGCATGAAATAGTAAACGAGAGGCAAATTTTGAGCAGTGACGAACATTTTGTGAGAACATATCACAAATGACCAGTTAATTTTAATGATCATATTTAATACAAATTAGCATTGTTAATAGATGTCTTTATGTATATTTTGCATCCTCAGTGCTGTGACTTCCATGAGAAGTTAACAATTAAATGTGGAGTACAGGTAATAAAAGAGACCCTCTCATCTCTCACAAATAGCCAGAAATGTATCTGCAGCTTTATCTCAAGAAGGACCTAGGCTCCATTATTTAGGGAACACAATTATATTACATGCTTGCAAAATCTAATCATGATGTATGTGTTACACTGGGCTGTGTTTCTATTGTTCCACAACAGCAGTTTCCAAAGTAATCCTAAGTATGACTTGTTCTTATTTTTTTTATGATCCAGTGTATGAGAAGCCAAACTTTGGGAACTGTGACAGAAAAAGTGACCAATGATGCCCATCAGCTGGGATGTGAGAGAGGACAGACCATGGCTGGCTCTGCTACCAGCGTGATTTGGCAGCGAGTGCAATGTGTGACACTTGACGTGTCTGAGTGATTTGCAGTCCTCACACTCCTCTTCACTTGGTCTTTCACAAACTACTTATGGAGAGCCTGTGAATCACTAATATGAGGCATTCCTGGCAGCATTGAGACACATAAAATCTCGTACGGAAGCATGCTGTTGTAGCTGCTGAAGGAATACATTTAGGGGATCTCTGAAAAAAGGCAGACAGCCATGAACTTGAGTGTAACCTGGGACATATCCTTCACAAGTACTTTAGGGATGCTTATTGAGTTCAGTGCTGCTATGCCACAGGATAGTATATCAAAGTCTGATGTGTGGACCTACCTTACAATCCTCATTTTGTGCTATTTGTGAGCTGCTACTGTCCCTTTTCATCATTTTCATTTGTATCCTACTGCATTAGTTTTCTAGCAGTTGCTTCCAGTGCTGAGCTAAACCCCAGCCCAGCTTGAAGAGCACCTTCATTTTACTTAAGGGACAAAGGAGTCAGTTAAATTATGCAAGTGAGAAGCTGAAACTGGAACCAATTATGCCTATTGCTCCCTCAAGGGTCTGAATCACAGCAGTGTATTTTACAGAATACTTTAGAAATGGTTCTCAAGAAAGTGGACCATAGTCTCATATGCATTATGAGCAAGTTCTGTAAGCTACCAGATCCAAGAGCATGTAATTTTAGCAAGGCTTACTTTTTGAAGTATATAATCCAGCAGGGAGGAAAAATGAATTATTTAAAACCTAATAGTCATAATTATGAAGACCAAAATTAGCATTACAATTTCTCACTCAAATCTACATGCTGATGAAGAATGGAAAGATGTCGTCTAAGAAGGGAAGAGTTTCTTGCAAGAAGCAACTTTCTACACTGTTTACAGTAGAAAGGCTAATGTTTCAAATAACATTTATGAAGAGGATTTTTAATGAAATCATCAAGGATATTTGTGTCAAAATCAACAGCTCTGGAGAAAGAGAATTATTCATTTACCATGAATATGGCAAAAACAGCGGCTGAAATTTGTTCATTTACATAGGCCAATCCCTGTTCCTCAGCAAAAGCCCTTTGGGCAAAGAACTAGTTTGACACAAACAAGAATGCTTTTGGGGATAGAAGTTCCTTGTGAGGTTCAGTTACACCCCTTAATAACTCAACTAGAAATACCCATTCATTTCACAGTTGGGGATTAAGTAATGGAATTATTTTTAACTATTATTAACAGCAGCTTCTCAGCCTAAGGATTATTCAATTTCAAATCTCTTTTGAGTTATTCAATTCAGGTATCTCAGGTCTTTCAGTGGTCAATATTTCAACCTGTGTTTTTGTTTTCCTCCATGTTCCCCCACTTCACACATATTTCAAAAAAATAGATGGAGTAACAAGAGTATAAGCTTAGACCTCTTTCATAAAATGCTCTTTGAAGAACAAAATATGATCATACTTCCAAAGACATTCAGCAGCATTTGACTTTGCATTGAAGTGTACAGCACTTATGAAGTCAAAAACCTTTACAGGTTTATATCATTGTAGGTTCTAAAGCATAATGCAGTGCCATATGTCTTAAGCCCCTCTTTTTTTTTTTTTTTTTTTTTCTCCAAGGCTACTATTCATCTCTTTGATGAAATTTTTAATAAAGTTCAGTTTTCCTTATTGCCTCAAGGTAATATTCTTGTAAAGCCAGCAGATAGTTGTAAGAGAATTGTTCAGATTTTGCATATTCTAGAAAGAACATTCTAAAAATCCCGTTCCCTTACAGAGCCATAAACTGAGCTTTGAAAAGTATGTAGTTTCATCTTGCAGCAATGACAAACTGTGTCTTATTATAAACATCAGAAGACAGCTTATAATAAATACTTAATCCTTTCCCTTCAGTAAAATACAGAATTTTTGGAGGTCGAATTGTGCTGTCATTTACAGTGATATAAATTTGGAATTACTTGATTGATTTGGGAATATTTATGGTGTTACACATTTTCATAATGTAAATGAGTAAGAATTTGACTCTGAAAAATCGAACTGTGTCTGGTATATTTTTCCTGTTTTGACATTTGTGCTTCTTGTCTTCTCAGCTACTGCTGCTAAAGTTTTAGCAGCCTATCCCTGTGTAATTTGCCTTTTGGGAATAGCAAACAAAATACTGTGACTTTATCATAATAATGTGCTTATGCAATGGCATATTTATAGCCAGACAGCCCTTGTGATATTTTCCTTTCAGTATCTGGAAAGGGGAAAAAAATAAAACACCCTTACTTTATGCATGCTTTTTAAAAAATTCTAGCAAAATAATTTTATTATTCTTTCTAGCAAGTCTGAAAAATGACTTTGTGAAAATTTGATGATTTTAATGATATTTTTCATGCAACACATTTATCAGTATGCAGAGCCTGGAATATAACTGGCAAATATCTCAAGTACTTTCAGGCCTGTTTTTATCGTTGTGGATATTTATCCAGCAGAAAATATACCACTGTGGTTTTGGTCAATGGCTTTCAGCAACCTAATTCAATAGATAGGTGAATTACTGGAGTGAGTCCTTCAACAAGCTCTCAGAAAGATTTAAGACTGAGTTTAATTGGGTGCCTCAGCACAGGACCCCCATTTCATTACAAGCCCCATAAGCACCCAGCTCTTTTGCTGTGCCAGTCATAGTAAAGGTCAGACTTCTACAGAAATCAGTGCCAGCTAGTCCCAGTTATGAACCACAGATTTTTCACTCTCGTATTCAGATCATGTTTGCAGCAAGACATTTCTAACAAAATTTATCTGGGAAGCTTTATTGAGAATGAAGTTTGACATTCAGGAGCCATTTCAGTTTATACTGTTTGATCATTTCTGCTCAACTGAAATAAAGGCATTGTCTTTGGCTCACAGTTTTGGGATGATAAGGCCTGTCCAGTTCACTTAGATGGGGAAAAGTGAGGAAATCAAGTGTTTTAAATGTTTTTTTACTTTTCTTTGCATTAAAGTATTCTAATCACTATAAAATATGTTCAGCATGAGAAACTTAATATCAAAGCTTCTGTAAATGATAGGTTAACGATGAAAGATAGCTGTCAGTTTTTGTTTCTGAAAA